TAAAACCAATCTAGTTCCAACAACAAAATAACGAAAACCTAATGGTTCTCTTTTGGTGGGGTGGGGCTGAATCCAATTGTTACTTCTTTTAAAGTTAATTTTTTATTCTTTTAATTAGCTACGTATCAATAAATATTTCTTGATATCCATTGTTTTTAGCTAAAGTTTTAATAGTTTGTAATTCTTTTTTATGGTTAGCAGGTGTTAAAGGGAATTTTAACACACGGTCTATGAGCCAAATGGAGCTAGCAGCTTTTTGGGTCCGTGGGTGAGAAGAATCATGGTGGTATCATGGTGTCTGTAGTTGTGGGTTTTCTATATACGTCTATTTCGATTAAGTTGTTTATTATAGACAGTTTTAAATCTAAAAAGTTTAAACAATCATTTTTATTAATTTACAATGTAAAATTTATATTATGGTGTAAAGAAGTAATTAGTCGAAGGAATTATTTTATATCATCTAGTTTTCACGACCGTATGCAAAAATATCGTGTACATAGCGTTTCCAAAAAAAGAACAGAATTAATTATTTTATTGTTTGATTTAAAAAGAATTTTTTTCAAAATTATTTATGTACATATTTAAAATGGGAGGTACATCAAAATCTGTTATATTGTTAATGCATTTATCACCATGCTCAATTTTACATTTTTAATTTCAAATTTCTCAAACCAATCTAGTTCACTCCCTTTGTTAAAACTATGTAAAACTGTTGGATTTAAATTTGAATTGAAATTATGTTTTGTTTCTTTTAGATGGTCCTTAAATTCCCAAAATTTGCTAGATTTAGGCAAGTGTTCTTTACTCTCGTTTTTATTTCTCTACCGCTTTGACCTATATACTTAATATTACAATCATTAAAATTGAGTTGGTAAACCCCGCTTTTTGCCAAGTTGTCTACATTGTCTTTAGGTTTTGAGAGGATGTTTTTTAGTGACCCCGTACTTCTGTAAGCTATTCTAAAACCTTCTGGTTTAAAAATTGTACTATCTTTTTCCGATATTTCACCAATGTATGGCAAAAAACGGAAACCTAATGATTCATTTATGGTGGGCTGGCTGAGTCCTATTGTTGATTCATTTTAAGTTTTTTTTTTTTATTCTTTTAACTAGCAACCTATCAATAAATATTTCTAGATACCCGTTGTTTTTTGATATGGTTTTAATAGTTTCTAATTCTTTTTTTATAGTTAGCCGGTGTTAATGGAAGTTTTAACATACGGTCTATGAACCAAATGAAACCAACATCCTTTTGGGACAATGGGTGGGAAGAATCCGCTGGAATCATAGTGTCTGTAGTTGTTATTTATTATGTCTAAAAAGTTCAAATAACTATCTTTGTTAATTTCTAATGTAAAATTTATATTACGGTGTAGAGAATTAATTAGTTGGAGGAATTCTTTGAGATCCTCTAATGTTCCCGACCTATGCGTAAACTATCGTCTATATAGCGTTTCCAAAAATGAACAGATTTAATTAATTTGTTGTTTGATTTAAAAAGGTTTTTTTCGAAATTATCCATGAATATTTCGGCACAAAGTGGGGATAATGGAGACCCCATTGGTAACCCTTTCATTTCGTAANACACATTATATATTTATAATCTTTCTTTATATATAATCTTCCTATATTGAATTTGTTGAATTATTGAATCGTAAATTATTGTAATATTGATATTCAATCATCATAAAAATTATTGTTAGTACTATAATGTCATTTATTTATTCCTCTACATAATTATTATCATTAGGTTTTAGGTTTCATTTGCTTGAAAAAAGGTTTCATTTGCTTGAAAAATGGTTTCATTTGCTTGAAAAAAGGTTTCATTTGCTTGAAAAATGGTTTCATTTGAATGAAAATAAGTTTCATTTGATTGAAAAAAAGTTTCATTTGACTGAAAAATGCTAAAACACCCTAATGTTTGGATTTCATTTTCTTGAAGTAAGGTTTCATTTGCTTGAAAAAAAGGTTTAATTTGTTTGGAAAAAGGTATCATTTGATTGAAAAAAGTTTCATCTGACTGAAAAATGCTATATCATTTTTTATAAATTCATTAATAAAATTTTCCGAAAGTTTTTGTTGTATAAGTTTTGTACATTCTTTAAAGGGATGTAACGTACAGAACCAACCACCATGACGGCAGAGCCCATGGAGGAACTGCAGTCTTAATCCACAACACCCTATCACACCAATGCCCAGAATTCCTACAAAGTACAGCTATCTCGATATCCTTTCAATCCGCGTCTATTCCAATCGCTTCTGTATACTGCCCACCCAATAAAACGATAACACCCACCCAATTTCAAAAGTTGAAGTATCGTTAGATCTCTTGAATCAAGAATACTCTCCGGCGGAGACTACAATGCGAAACACATGCAATGGGGCTCCAGAGTCACCAACTCTCGTGGTCGCTCACTCCACTCAGCACATAAAAAAGAGGAAAGCCCTACGATGCTTCAATAGACAGCCGACAGTAGAAAACCTCCAGAAGTACAAAGTGGCACGATCTACAGAACGAAAAGTATTAATGGGCGCCAGAAAGAAAACCTTGCAAACATTTATTAGTGAAATGAACATGAAACTGACAAATAAGGAAATATGGAATAAAATCAGCGCAATAGCTGGAAAACGAAAGCTACCATTAGTCCCGCTACTTCACATTCAAGGAAGTATAGTAACCGATTGCAAAAGGGTAGCTGATGCGCTAGGGGAACACTATGAAAAAATATGGAGCGATCACTCCTATACCAATGAATTTAAGAGATACAAGGTCCAGATTGAAAAGACTGCTACACTTGAATTGGACGGCGCGGTCACGGAGAGTATTAATGAAGACCTGACAATGGCCGAGTTGGAAAAGCCCTACGAAAATCCAAGGATAAGAGCCCGGGTAAGGATGGCATCCCGAATGCACTATTACGGAACCTACCCGAGAAAGAAAAAAGGAAACTATCGAACTTATATAACGAAATACGGAGGGCAGGGGAATATCCAAATAACTGGAAAGAGGCCATTGTAGTACCAATCCTTAAAGAAGGGAAAAACCCAAACATTCCTGAAAGCTACAGACCAGTTTCCCTAACCGATTGTTTAGGAAAGCTAGTGGAAAAGATGGTAAACAATCGGTTGGTGTGGTTTCTGGAGACGAAGAAGCTACGAAACAATTACCAAGCCGGATTCCGCCGAGACTACTCGGCGGTAGACTAGGCATGTTTTCTCTAGGGCCTAATTCAGAACACCTATCTACGACGAGAACATGCCATTGCTATTTTCTTCGACCTCGAGAAAGCTTACGACACCACTTGGAGATTCAGTTTAATAAAAAAGTGCTACGAATGGGGACTACGCGGAAACATAATAGATTTTTGCATAATTTTCTCAAAAAAAAAAAAAATTCCAGAGTAAGGATTGGTACTACATTATCTGAATCCTATGACCAAAAAAATGGAATACCTCAAGGGTCAGTACTCTCCGTGACCCTATTTATCATCGCGGTGAATTGCTGCACCAATCGTAAAATCTGTATATGTGGATGACCTGAATATATTTCTGAGTGGAAACAGCTTGCATGAGGTCGCTGCGAAACTACCAGACGCGGTTAACACGATTGCCAGAAATGCAGAGAGCTTGGGATTTCGTTTCTCAAAGGAAAAACAAAAGCCATTCATGTTTGCAGATTGAGGAACGAGCATATTGCCCCTCTTATAACAATGAATGGTCAAACCCTTGAGTATGTGAGTAACGTAAAATACCTCGGCATCACATTTGATACAAAATTACAATGGCATCCACACATAGAGAAAACAGCCGTCCAATGCAAAAAAGTCAATATGATGAAATTTTTGAGCAACTTTAGATGGGGTTCCTCACGAGAAACACTACTTCAGATTTTCAAGTCGCTGTTATGCCCAAAATTGAATTACGGGTGCATGGTGTATAGTTCGGCCAGAAAAATTATATTAAAGAAACTAGATGGCATATATATGGTAGGAGTAAGAATTTGCAATAGGAGCCTTTAGGACCAGCCCAGTTTGCAATGTGTGCGTAGAAGCCGGGGTACTACCGCCCGGCGAGAAAAGGACGCAACTGAGTACTGACCCTGTCCTATTGTGCTAAGATATGGTCGCAAAAAGATCACTTTCTACATAACCCTATATTTAATGCCGAGTTAGAAGAAATGTATGGAACGCTGAGAACCCGCACAAGACCCTTGGCCATAAGATTAAAAGAAACCTTGTTCACAACGGACACAACCATGAAAAAAGTAATTAAAACGGAGTTCCAACATCGGAACCCTGGCTATTGCCCTCCGTTCCAGTGCGAGACGATCTGGCTGTGTGGAAAAAAGAAGAGACTCCTTCGTATATCTACAAAACAGCATTCCTCTCCTTAAGGGAGGAATACAATGAAGCCAAATTCATATATACTAATGGATCCAAAACAGAAGAGGGTGTTGGCTGTGCCATATATATGGGAGATAATTGCAAAAAAATTCCCCTCCCGAGCACGGCCAGCATCTTCACTGCAGAACTAACCGCCATATCGTTGGCCCTGAGTGAGATTGTTAAACTGCCAACATCAAAATTCGTAATATGCACAGACTCACTCACCGCAATCTCGGCTATACGGAACAAATTCTCCACGGACCCTCTAGTAAAAAACATCTACCAGCTCATACAGGAATTATGCGAGGAGGAACGTGAGATCGCTTTCCTTTGGATCCCGGGTCATGTCGGCCTAAAAGGAAACGAAGAAGCCGACAGAGCGGCAAAAGACGCCACTAAATTGCCGCATGACCCGGATTTGCCGATCAGCCCAGCAGACATCAAAAACGCAATGAAAACGTTATGTTGGAGTGAATGGCAAATCCTAGGTTTATTAGTATAAATGTGTATAATGAATGTGTGTGTATGTAAATGGTCAAATACTTCAATTTACCACATGTGGAGGGATACAAAGAGAAATGCAACAAAAACCGTGTCAAGGGTTCAGCCCGGACATAGGTGATAAGGGTGAGAGGAGGGGGTAACGAACAAGTCGAGGCAGGAGTGCTCGCTTGGATTTTGCCGTGACCCTAACGTTTGACAAGCCCGTCCGTAAGTCCGATATAGCATTTGTCCTGGGTACTGACTTGAAGGGGACTAACCCGATGTGTGTACTTATTTTTTGAATTAATGATGAAGGAATTTGATTCCAAATTGTGTGTTTATTTATTTCCCTTGTACCCTCCCTGCGTACTCTGCCTAATTTCAGTGGGTAATTACTGGTAAGTACCTCAATCTCAGAGGTGACATTCTGGCAGCAGAGGGTTTAAATTATTTATGGTGAAAGATCCTATCTTTTTAAATTGATTTTGTAAATAATTTTTGTGTAAATAATTTTCCTTTTTCAGTGGCAGTTCCATCCTTTTATTTAGAATTTTATCTATTGTTAATTTATCCCGAGGTTTAAGATTATTTAATGCATGCATGCGTATGATTTTTTGTTCCTTTTCGTCGTAATTGAATAATGTTTAAAAGAGCGAAATTCATTAAACAGAACAATTTCCGTTATCGCTTCATACCTTATCGCCATTAATACGCTGATTCAAAACAAAGTAGCCGAGTTTGGAGAAATATATTCTTTTACATAACAGAAACAATAATTTTAATCTATATTCATTTATTCATTGTGTACCTATTATTTATTTCTGATTTCCTTTACCGTGACGGAACGAAAGTGTACAAATATATGTGCAACGGTTTTACAGACGCCGGACCGGAAACATTGTCAGCTTGCAAAAAGTGCAGGCGAAAGTTCCATTACGAATGTTCACGAGCCCAAAGCCGGTCCAATTGGACTAAAATATCTACAGACTGTAGACCCCTATGGTTGTGCGACTCGTGCCAGGAAATGGGTGTACTTCAAAAACAAGTACAAACTCTCCAAGCACAAAATGATGAAAATCAAACCTCGACCTGTTCCGAGTTCAGCTCAATTCGGGAGCAACTCGCATCTATCACGATCCTTATACAGAACCTCATAACGACAACTAGTACACAAAAAAACCCCTGAAACTCCAACAAATAATGATAACGTAGTCCCCAGTGAAAATATCTCTCCTCCAGTCACCCAAATTCACAATACCCAAAACATACCCCGGTACATTGAGGCCGAAGTAGAAAAGATGCCTCTCCTAAGAAAAAATAAACCTTGGTAGGTCGTTTCCTTTTTTAGATAGGCTTTCTAAAATTAATAAAATTAACAGCGAATATTTTCCGGAAATTTTTAAAAGGCTAGCCGCAACACAAAACAATCCTCTTTTAAGAAGGCTCGCCGTAGGGATACCATCTTTTAAAGCCAATTCATTGTTCTAGAACTTACCACTCCCCTAATAAGGACTCATCTGATTTCTCGAAAGGTTTCGCGTCCACAAGGTCATAGGGAGGCGTTCAGAAATTATACAGAGGATGTATGACGATTTGCACGTCTACTTACTGAATTCTCGAACGAAGAAATACTTGAATCAATACAAAATCCAGATTTCAGTTCGCGACTAGGCCTTCTAATTTAGAAAAGTTACAAGACCTTGTAACTTACGTCGAAAAGCAAGAAATCCTGACCATGGCTTCCGATAATAACTTTTTTAGTTCAGGAAGGCATGAGTCACCACAGAAGCAATTCTATAGGTTTCATTATGGACACCATAGGGATAACCGTAGAAAAAACAATTTCCATTATATAAACCGAAATGAACACCAAAACCGAAGCACATCCCGCCAAAGAGGTAAATCTAGGGAAAATTCCACCCGAGAAACCAATTCGAACGACAAAAGGCATTCCGAATATAGCGGCAAGTCAAACTCCTGGAAAAAACCATTTAAAAATCAATCCGAACAACGAATAAAACAAGAAAAGGTATACACGGTAAAGAAAGCAAGTAAGACAGACGTCCCACACCCATAACCCAAAAAACGAAGCCCCTCAAAAAACGAATAGATCGGGTCTGCAGGTCGGAGCGACAGGAGGAAATTATCCAAATTTCAACATCAGCCATTAACAACTATTTAAAAATTTCCCTCCAGAATTTAGAATATTTCGCACTAATCGACACTGGTGCATCCGTGTGTTACATAAGCCGCGACAAATATAAAAACAATTAAAGATTCAACTTGTAACCTAAAAAATATAGAGAAGTGTGAAATCGTAGTAGGAGGTTCCAACGTCCTTAATTGTAATGAAAAGGTAAAGCTTAAAATTAACATTAATTCCTTGTCTTGGTATTTTTATTTCGTAATAATTGAAAAACTCCCTACCGACGTAATTTTAGGTTTTAATTTCCTTCGATTCTCAAAGATGACAGTAGACCCTAGTCATTCGCAAATTTTCTTCGACTTTAAAAAAGATGAAAAAATCAAATTGATAAACAATAATAGCACTTCTATTCAAAACATGGCATCAATTAACAAAGAAAACTTATTAAAACATCTAGTTACCTTGTACCCGAATACCCTCAATGGGACTGACACAGCTCATTCAATGCACCCTCCGTCTAAAGGAAGGTGCTAGTCTCAAGCGTAAAAGAATGGTTTTTGCCCAGAGCCCGTGTAGAAGACAGATCATGCGCGACAAGATTGCTAAGCTCCTCGAAGACGGAATCATTGAAAAAGCATCTTCCAATTTCGCCGTCCCCGCGTTTTTGGTGCCAAAGAAAAATAGCAGCACAACAGACTTTCGCTTAGTGGTGGATTACCGACAGTTAAACGAGAACCTAGTTTATACATACTTTCCAATCCCAACCATTGAATCTGCCTTTTTATATTTTAGCGAAGCTGCCAAGGTATTTTACGGTCAAGGGCTTAAATTTGGCGTACCACCAAGTCCCATTATCTCCGGAATCAAAAATTTTAACCACTTTCTCGACCCCTTTTGGTTGTTTTCAGTACACCAGAACACCATTCGGTATATCCCTTGCTGGGAATGTATTCTCCCAATTAATGGTCACCATGTTCGGTGACATAAAGAAAAAATTCGTTTTCTTCGACCTCAATGACATTTGTATTTACAGTACCACATGGGAAGATCACGTTAACCATATTACGATCGTTCTGGACCGGTTAAAAGATGCAAATCTAACAGTCAATCCGGAAAAAATTCAATTAGCCAATTCTAAAATTAGGTTCCTCGGTCATTCCATCCAGAAGGGAGGAATATCCGTCGACCAGAATAAGATTAAGGATATCCTAAATATCCCTCGACCAAAAACCCCAAAGCAGGTGGCCCAATTCCTTGGGAGTATTAACTTTGTTGGTAGATTCATTCCAGATCTAAGGATTATCGCGCGACCCCTTAACGAAATGCGAAAGAAAGATTCCCCCATGGTTTGGACGGAGGAATGCCAAAACGCTTGGCAAACCCTCGGTTCAAAAATCACATCGCCACCTGTCCTCAAGACTCCCAACTTCAGAGAAAGATTTTCCGTGTTTACGGATCGTTCAACTCTCGGTATAGCCGCCGTCCTAGCTCAGGAGGAAGAAGGCGCTTTCCGACCAGTCGCTTTGCGTCCAGAAAGCTAAAAGGTACTGAGGCGAATTACAGTGCTTATGAGCTTTCCAAACATACCTGGAATTTAACGAATTCAACTTGTTTACAGACCACAAATCTCTCACGTCCGTGATTTCCTTGCAAAATAAAGGGGGACGCGATGCTAGATTTGCGGCAAAGATACTTGCGTACCGGTACAAGTATTTCACATAAAAGGAAAAAACAATTCTATCGCGGACTACATTTCCAGAAATCCTGCCGAACCAAATAGTGATGAAAACCAAATTGAAACCATAAACGTGTTACAAAAAATCCCTGAGGTGTTCCAAAACCTATCATCGGCTCAATATGAAGACAAAGACTTAAAGGTCAAAATCGATAAATTAAAAAGTAGTTGTAGTTAAAATCCCTGGATACTCCCTCATCGTAGACAAGTTATATTTTGAAGTTACCCCAGGACAGCACAGAGCGTTGATACCCAAACAACTTAGGCATATGGTGTTCAAATATTACCAGACTGAGTTAATAGGATCGCATCACGGAGTTAATCGTACCCTAAATAGAATAAGAGAATCTTTCTTTTTCCCGCATGTGCGTAGCTTCGTACAGGAGAAGATTAAGCTGTGTTTGTCTAGTCAAAGAAGTAAGCCTGAGCAGAGCTTACCCAAAGGTTCACTTTCTAGTTTTTCTTGCAAGGAACCACAAGAAAAACTATTTGTAGATTTGGCTGGACCCCCTTGTAGCAATAGCTACAAGTACATTTTTATATCCGTAGACGGGTTTACTACGTATACAATTTTGTTCCCAATCCGGACGGCAAATACGGCGACAATAATAAATTGCTTGCGGGACAGAATTTTTAATTACTGGTCCACAAATGACAGATAATCATTCTATTTTTAAGGCTAAGGCATTAAGAGATTTTTTATTCAGCAACGGAGTCAAAAAATCGTTTCAAATACCTTTGTACTCTAACTCGAGTAAAGCTGAGAGAGGTCTCCGAAATCTGAAAACCTCCCTTACCGCTACTTCGGAGACAACCAAACTAAATGGTCGCAGAATCTGTCATTTTTTCAACTGACTTTGAACACCGCCATCAACTCATCTACGGGCTTCACCCCCTCCAAATTATTCCTAGGAAGAAAGCTGAATACCCCATCAAATTTGGAATGGGAGGTACCGGTGTCACAAGAAAAAACATCGTATGATGAAATGTGGCAAACAGCCTTGAAAACCATCGAAAAGTCAAAACATATCCAAAAGAAGTGGTACAACAGAAAACATAGAGATATTCGACTTAAGATAGTGGAAAAGGTATTAGTAAAAACGCACACATTTTCGGATAAACAAAAGAAAATATCTTCCAAACTGTCCTTTGTTCTGGGTACTGACTTGAAGGGGACTAACCCGATGTGTGTACTTACTTTTTTGAATACAAGGTGAAGGAATTTGATTCCAAATTGTATGTTTATTTATTTCCCTTGTACTCCCCCCTGCGTACTCTGATTATTTCAGGGGGTAATTAAATGTACCTCAAGCTCAGAGGTGACAACCGTAAGGTCGGATGAGTGGC